ACACACACACAGACACACAGATCTCCCATTCATTCTGAAGAATTTTATCTCATATAATCTGCTCTTTACTACATAAATATGTTGAAATAAAATTTGCTGTACTGCTGTGTTACACTAGTTTTACTATTAGTAGAGACAGAGGAACAATACAGTACTAAATCAACAAGAACAATAAGAAATAAAATAAGAAATATAATAAATAAATGCTAACTAATGTCTGGATATATTTGGGGAATATACATTTGCTCCTGAATGAGCAATGATCAACTATCATGATGCATCTAATACAACTCAGCACTACTACCTAAAACAACAACCTTTGCATGTATTTGTTGAGTTAGATTGTATTATATTGTAGAATGGTAAGGTGTAACTCATAACAATAAGTTAAATCAACATCTCTCTGACACAATGTCAACATTAACTGAACATAAGCTCATGAGATGGTGATAATTGAGATTCATTTTAAATGGGTCAATTGATTTTCTCTTCTTTAATTCAGAGACTATTTCTGCTCCAAACATACTCATGTCTGCTGGCCTGGAGAGGGCGGTGCTCTTGCCTGAAGCTCATGTAGGCGGTCTGTAGCACAGATTCAAACAGCATGCTTCAAAGCCTGGGTGCAGTGTCAGGTATGTTATGTCAGGTCTCTCCCCCAGAACCCAGAGGGCATCCACCTCCCTGCAGCACAAAGTCTCTGTGGCTAAAACCGTTAGCATTTCCGACACAAAGACCTATTAAACAATAAGTGTCAGGAAACTGTCTCTCTCTCTCTCTTTTGCCTCTACGTACCAGCCCGTTGTGATGTGAGCGCTTTAGCCAATTCAGGTCACTCACCGCCTGCCCTGTTCTCCACAACTCAATTACTTTCCTTATTTTTTTAATCCTCGTCTGTTCCTGGTCTCTTAGGACACCTGGCAGGCTCATAATTATAAGACTGCGGTCCATCACATGCATATGGATAAGCATTTTCAATCTCTTCAGTGTCAAAACTACCATTGGGATCCATATTTATTAATGTTAAGATTAACCTAACTTGGCCATTCTCTCGTTTTCCTAGACATTGATTCACTGGGGTCTCCAACCTGAGTCGCTCTTCAAATAAATGCTGAATAGACAGAAAAGCTGCAAGATGGAAGCACTCCCTCCTAACACACAATGTTGACTTTACTCAACACTGACACTTGTTCTTGTCTGCTGCTGAGGGACAATCAGCAAAACATTTAGAATGTTTCACTGATAACAATAAAAACTTTGTTTGTGTATGACTTTGAAAACATAACCTGGCACCACTCTCTAATAACTCATACCTGCTGAAGTATTTATAAGTTTTAGCTAATGGCCTTAAAATGGTTAATAAATGATTAAATGAATGCTTTCTATTTTACGGTTGTAATGTTGTTAAGATCCTCTTTTCATCCCGTGATCAATAAAGTATTAAAACAAGATGTGTTAATCATTACAATTCAAATGAAAAACTATATAAACCTTTATAAAAGTAAATGCCTCGTCAGACAATACTACCCATACTTTTGCCTGTCACAAGTGTATGTACGATTTTAAAACTGGAATGTATTTAGGAAGTGTGACTGGGATCTGTGTAATGTTTGGAATTCCATACAGTGGAGAATGGCACAGCTGACTGACTTCACAGGTGAGACAGGGTGCAAAGTCAACCGTTGCCAGTGTCCACAAAGACCCTATGTGAATCAGTTTCAAGAGAAGATAGTGAGTGCATGTCATTGACTGACTGGCTTCTCCTGTATGGTGCATTCTGGGTATTGAAGGGTCTAGTTGTTGGTGAGTGTGGTGCGCCATTTACCAAGCAGCAGGTTCACCAGGACTTCTTGCCCTGCCAGAGTGTTACTCCTCGTGAGGCACACAATAGTACCAATGATCCACGTGATGCCGTGTCCCGTAAGCGCTAACAGGGTGATCATGGAGCGGCAGCCTCCCCAGGAGGACGACGTGTACGCGCACACCCCCATGCGCTTGGACAGACAGATGTCAATTGCGAGGAGGGAGTTGATCGCTATTCCCTTGAATGAAGGGTTCAGCTGCATACAGTCTTCCTCTGGCAGTCTGCTGGGCTCCCTCTTGTCCTTGCTGCCGCTGTCGGTCGGCTCCTCGCTTGGCTGGCTCGTTTGGTGCTTTATTTGACCAGGTCGCCTTGCGCTGCCTCGGCTCTCCGAGGGGCCAGCGCCGCCGCCAGCACCACCACCGCCGCC